TTGCGCAAGTGGCCCGGCCTCGGCAACCACTTGCACAAGTATAGCGCAAATTATGCGGAAATGGCACGCCATTCTCTAATATCCTTAAGAAGGATAAGTAATTGTGTGAGGACACCGAGCATCAGGAGAATTCTGACAGGGTCGAAGACAGCCTCCTTCATGCACCAATACTGGCGTTGCCAGACCCAATCGTTCTTTAGTGTCGTCTGAGACGCTTCGGGCTTTGCCATCGAGTGTGCACTGCTTCAAGCAGACGCCGAGGGGCGGATTCGGATGACAGCGTTCGAATCTCGCCAGCTTAAAGCTGCGAGGTGGAATACCCAGTTCGCGACAAGGAATTACTTGCGATGAAGTATGCACTTGTCAAGTTCAGGGTGCACCTGCTCAAAGCCGTTTGTGATCTACACTGATCATGCGTCCTTACGCACTGCGACTCGGTCGCCTCACCTCCCGTAGAGGATCGCCAGGTGGCTCTCATTATTTGCAAAATATAACTTCGATGTGGAGTATAAGCCAGGATATCAGAATGCTTTGGCTGATGCGTTGTCACGCAGACCGGATTATGAGCCTTCTCATGTCACGACGGCGACGTCGTCAGTGACGGATTTGACCGCGCCGTATACGTGGGTGACGGTATGTGTATAGCGCTGCTACAGGCTATCGGGAACAAAGAGTTAAGAAACTCGGACAAGATGTTGTCGTCGCGATTGCGCTTCGATATTCGTTTAATAACGGGTTGCTCTGTTAAGCACTGATTCAGCGGATACGCCACGCATTGTGGTTCCTCACGATGAGGATTTAAAATATCGTATCCTCTATGAGGCCTACGACACCCCATTTTGTGGTCATCTCGGTCGTGAGAGGACGTACAGCTCGGTGAGTTGCCACAGTTGGTGACCCAAGCCGTATAAGTGGACGAGCACATGTGTGCGCACGTGTGAGATATGTCAGAGGGCGAAACCCCTCTCCGTATGTGGCGCGTCGCTGGCCAGTTCACTGGTACCCTCCGGGTGTTTGCAGCCCATGAGTAGGGACTTTGTGTTTGATCTGCCGAAGGACTCAGCGGGCAACACGGGTGTGGTAGTCTTTGTGGACCGTTTGAGCAAGATGACTCATTTTGCGGCAGTGCCGAACACCATCGACGGTGTGAGTACAGCGACGTTGTTTGTCGATCGTGTTTTTAGACAGCATGGACCCCCGGAGTCAATTGTCGCTGATAGAGACCCGCATTGCCCTGGGAAGTTTTGGTCTACACTCTTTAGGGTTGTGTGCAGATGTGTGAACGTGTCGACGGATTTATTTGAGCCACACTCGCCGGCGCATTTTGCCAATCAGTTAATTCCCGAATAAAATTTCAATCCACTAGTATGGGCTTTAAATTTGTGAGTTTACAGAAAACCCGGCGATATGGACTTTGTGGGTCGTCTGAAAAAATGACTACCTCACTGCTGTCTATAGAACTTTTACAGGTGTTAATAAAGCCAGCCATGTTTCCCCCGACATGGCTTTCCGTGACCAATGTCTCGGATCGATATCACACTATACAGCAATTTTTTGGCATATTTTTAACCAGATGTTGAGCATCAGATTGGACATGCCTACCGCTGTATTCCACAGACAGATGATCAGATGACATTCGCAAATTGTGTGGTGGAGGAGATCATCCGATACATTCGTATAGGGAGACCGTGCTCTATATATTGCATTTCGGCTTCATAGCGCAGTACATTTCTCTTCAGGCTTTACTCCTTTTATGTAAATTGCATCACAACCCCTGTAAGCTTTGATACCCCAACGAAATGGCTTCGCTCTTGGTGGGGATGAGACTGTCAATTTAATATACAGATACCATATAGGCCCAAAGCGAAATGAAACCGAGGATCATGCACCGAGTGCGCAATGCTATGACTAAGAGCTAAGGTGTCCTACGACAAAATTTTAATGATAACGGCAGACGGAACACATATGAATTTGTATCAGTGAAAGGCTATACCAAATGCGGTTAGTCTGCATTCATATGAAATAGCTGCAATTGATAAGACCTTGCTACATCGGAAGTCAGAAAGGAGTTGGGCTTCAACCTCAATATTCCGGGTATTAATGCCAAAATATCCTATGATTTACGTAGCGAAATGATCTATACCAGTATCCGCTTTTACGAGCCATTTGGACGCGTAGCACTCAGTTGACCTCGAAGCAACATCTCCACTTATGCTTATTGCTAAAAAACGTTCCACTTTAGGACATCGGAGTGGCTACAAACCACATATGATGACTCGATCTACTCCGTACGATGGCAAAGCACAAAGAACGCATCCGACGCGTGGTTAATCTTAGTACTGGTCAATCTCGAAAAGTGCTGACGAGGTGCTATAACCGATAAGGCTCACCAGATTTAGCTGCGGAAGGGTGACCTTTCGCGAGCACTTCTCAATGAGCAAGGTGTGAGCAGCTTCCATGTGAAATGGATATTTGGACCTGCGGGCTTGTCAGGGCTGTAATGAAAGTTTTGCTAAGAAGAAGAGATATCCTCATATTGAGTACAAATAGAAGTTCGGATTCGGTGACATTACTCTAGCGCCGTTGCCGCTTACACCTTGTTGCGTTCTTTGCCTGTTTTCACCTCCCCGGGAAAAAGGCGGGGTTTATGGAAATGAATGAATCCACCGACAGTAAGAAGATAAGGCGATAAGTTTCCACTTCAACGTCCATATCTACATCGTGCTATATATCTTCTAAAGCCAGGCGTTAAACAGCGCTCCAATACTTTGCATTATTTGCCAAAGCTGACTTGCAGAGTTGTAAGACGGGTGAGGCGATGTGCGTTCTCATCTAGTAATGCACTACCCATCGGCACAATCCTAAGTGTTTAGTTTTCAAGTTCGGTCTTTATGGTGGGTACAGATAAACTGACCAGTGCTGCTCCAGCGCCGATAGTACACCTCAGGAGAGGTGATCTTACGAGCAAGAAGCCTTCACGGGGCGACTTTGAGCGCTCAATTCGCTTTTTGTCTGAGCAAAAGACCCGCACGCATAGGAGTATAAGTGGCCCTAGAGACGGCGCCACTTTCAAAAGCTCATAAAGTCATAGAGGTACGCCACGAAGAAGACTCTCAATGCATATAAGGCTCGCCGGAACATGCACTCAAGGTGCAAGTGGAAGAAATATACTTCATGTGCGGTGGTGCTCATCGCACGTTCACTTTTGCGCAATTTCTTGTATTGATAAAGTATGTATGAGCCCCAGTGCGGGCTACATCTTGATGACATACTGTGTTATAGAGATGTACACATTCCTCTTCTGTGCAATAGCCTTGCGTCAAAATTTATCATATAAAATGAATATTGACAATCAGTTTATTCAAGACTCAGCTTTGAAGGTACATCACTTTTGAAAGTAAAAAACAGAAGTTAGTACGAAGGTTCTCGGTCCCGCTTAGAGCGTACAAATTCACCCATTGTACACTATTAGCACAGACTCTCTGAGTCAAAGCTTTATCTGTGGTAGGTGCACGACAACCCATTGCATAAGTCGTAAGCTTCACTTTGCTTCCTCATGCAAGGTGCGGTGTAGCGATTCGCTATTCGTTGGCAAATACAGGTGAATTCTCTGGATTCAACGTAATCAAAAATAATTTTGTTGTTCCAACGGCTCAAAGCTTGACCATTCTGATGATGGCGAGCATCCTCTGGAATGAGGGACTTGAAAAGCCTGGCGGCACACCGACGCCACTTCAGCAGATCAAATGAGTTAGGCACTCAACTATTATATATGTATACGTGTAAATACTTCAATGAGTTGATTAGTTGACTTGTCACTTTCATGGCTCTTTGACGAGGTGAGGGTGACAGACACAAGCCGTTGCACCCAAACGAAAGAAGCGAAAGTGGATTCTTCAAATTCTCAAAAATTGACAAAAGCTTCGGATATGGACAAAGGTGGTTTTATCCTGGCCAATCTAAGCAAAGAGTTGGGCCTACATGCGCGGGACAACGCCGCCAAGGTTTATAACAAACATGCTTTCCGCAACTACCGAAAAATGAATGGCTACATTTACGAGTTAAACGTGCTCATGACATCATTGGTACGGAAGCCTTCTTTCAAGATGACGGTTTTCATGAACGACATGCTTTCCGGATGCTTAAATTTGGACGATATAGTTTGCTCTCCAGTCTCATACGAGATGGCAGGTAATGCCATGCGTCGTGGTGCCCTCGACAGCATCTCTTGAGCTGCTGGCGGTCCAGTGCCGATGGGTATCGATCTCTGTACGTCTTGCATGCTAAGCTAGCGGTGACGTTAGAGTGCCCAAGTAAAGCCAATCATTCGTTGGCTGCGCCGAGCTAGTATTCTGTATTATCATCTACTGAAATCCAATTGGTCCGTTTCTCGTCACTCACCTGTCATCAAGTTACTACTCAAGAAAACTGTGGCAAGATTGTTTAGTATAAGTACAAGCATTTCAGTCATAAAACAGCTCTGCTCCCACTTTACGAGTCACCACTATTGACCACATTGCGAAGGTAGTCGAGAATCTGAAGACTTCCATGCTTATCCAGCACATGATTGTACTCAGAGCATCCAGTCGATTGAATGCATGCAGGACAGCCGTCGGAGCACAGGCATTCGCTCGCGATAGTCCAGGCTTTTTCAATTAGCTGTTTCACGCAAGCAATTAATAGCAGTTGCTTTAAAAGCTGCATAAAGGAGAATACCTTTGGTAAAATCTTCGTAATCTCAGGTATTAATCCACTTCCTCCTTCACGCCGCTCGAAGATTGTGACACGGTTCGGCCTGTTTGAATCAAACCAACACAAGTGTTAAAGTCTTCAATTGAAATGTCGAATATCTCGCCATACTTAATACGTTGCTCAAACTCATTAACGTGCTCAGTTCCAACGTCTTCAGCATCGCATAGGATGAATAGTCGAACGAGGGCGACAAACAGATGACCAACCCCATGCAGAGCTGCAGTCCACGACCTCTTGCTGATTTTTTCAACCTGGTTTCGGATTGCAATTGGAAACTCGAGCCAGACTGCTTCGCCGAAAGACTGCATAGGTGGCAATGAGAACTCGTGTGTTCCGAGTAATCGCATACTACGCTTTTCCAGCATTGTCGATCCAAAGACTCGGGTCTTGATGGAGACAGTACCGACACAAACTCGAACATAATCAATCATTTCGACATTCACACGGTCGCTTCCAAGCTGTTTGGTGCTGTGCACACGCACAACCTCCAAATCCGTGCAATCGCGACAGGTTGTAAAATATTTAAGTGATTCAGGACATTTTTCTGCATATGCAATGCGCTGAACACAATCAAGACGTGTGATCAGATACTCTTGTGCTTGATGCAAATACACAGCAGTTGGATAAACTTGAAAAAACGCTTTGTCTCCTGGAATTTCATCCAGAGCTTCTTCGTCAGCCACGTCATCAATAGTTTTAGTATTTCTAAGCATGACCGTATAGATTTCATCGCATATACTGCGCAAATTCACAGCACGAAACTTTATCGGCATGCATGGATGGACTCGATAATTCCAATGCCCACCTGCCTCAAGACACTTCATCAGTTTTTTCTCTTGTACAAGAGGATCAAGCACCTGGCTGATTTCCGATGTCACTACTAGATTATCAACTTCAGAGGTATTCGAAAGGTTACCGAAGACGAAAGAATCGATATAATCTGTTCCGGATTGCGACGAATAAAGAGCAGATTCCCTAGCAGCGCACAACAAATGCTGCCCAAGAACTCGGTGATTCATGGGATTTAAACTAACGGCTTCTGGTGACAATTTGAATAATTCCATTGCGTGTCGTTTTTGAGCAAAATGCTGGTCTAAAGGCGCATCAAAGCATACGATCACGGCAACAGATTGTTTCTGTTTCGTTTGCTGCTGTCGACGACCTGCCCGACCAGCTTGTTGCCACAATGAAGCGATACTGGACGGAAGGCCAAGATGGATCGTGCAGTCCAGCTCACCAATGTCAATACCAAGTTCTAAAGCATTTGTTGCCACAACACCAAGTAGATCTCCATTAAATAATCGCTGCTCAATTCGTCGCCTGCATTCGAGTGTATATCCACCTCGATACGAGCTTACTCGACGATGCAAGTGACGAGTTTTTGACTCAGCATTTAAGATTGAATGAACGTTCATCAGCACCAATTCAGTCAGCTTTCTGCCACGGCAAAAGAGCAGAGTTGCTATCTCTGCTTCCACAAAGCGAGCAAGAAGTCGAGACCCATGGTAAATCGCACTTGTACTGCGGCTGACATCATTTTCCTGCTCTTTAATGTCAGTCTTGAGTAGACTGATTGATTTTGTGTCGCGCTTGCGTTTTCTAAAAACTTGGCTTGATATTGTTGGCTTAGGGGCATCAATTGCTTCTGACGAGATGCTTCCCGATTGCAGATCAGCACAACTTTTCGGCTGGGATCCTTTTGGGTTCCAAATACAAAATACTTTCTCATTAGATGGAGCACCATCTTCAGTAATCACTTTCAAATGACGCTGTCGAAAAAAAGACATGCTAGGTGGGCTCGTATCATCCTCTTTCTCTCCATCTCCTTGGGCACTAGCGCATGATCCCGACTGCTGTGGAAGGGTCGGTAATAGTTGACAAAAGTGAGCTTCTGGATTCTGAATTGTGGCCGAGCAGCACACAATTTGCGGATTGGAACCGTAAAGCGCACAAAGACGAAAAAGTCGACGAAAGACGCAAGAGACGTGTGACCCAAAAACACCGCGGTACATATGTGCTTCGTCAACGACTAGTAATCTACACCAGCACGTTTATTAAAGAAAATGATCATCACATATTCATACAAAACACAATGTTACCTGAGATTTGACAGCACTTTTGACCATTGACGATGCTGCGGCAAAATTGTCAGGTGAAGCATATCTGGATTTGTAAGAAAGATTCGTGTTTCGCGAATTAACTTTGAGCGGCTTTTCATTGGGGTGTCTCCATCCTGCACAAGAACGGTTGAAAATTACTTTCACGGAATGAACTGAGCACAATTACCTACAAATGTTGCTGCCACTTTCAGCGAAAGGTCTGCAGCGTCTAACAAACGTATCAATGCCTTGAGCTGATCCTGCGCTAGTGCTTTTGTTGGAAAAAGATATATGAATGTCGCGTTTGGGTCTTCAAGCAACATGCTCAGCATTGGTGTATTGTACGCGAGGGATTTACCACTCGCAGTTGCAGTCGACAGCACGACATTGTTGCCATGGCAGATTGCATCGATCGCTTCAAATTGGTGAGAGTACAACTGTTGAATTTTGTGACACTTTTCCAGTGCTTGACACACTCTTGTTGATAGCTGCAGTGGCTTAAGATCTCGATACTGCGCTTGTCGTGAGCTTCGACGCTCTACGTGAACAATCTGATCCTTGTACAGGTCTAATTGCTGCAGCATAGCTAATACCGATGAACCCCAATCATTGTGTTCTAAGACTTGCTTAGGTGATGTCGAGCTTACAGGATCCAACGAAAATTGTTCGCTTGGAAGCAGCTCCTTGGTCTGCTCTTGACCTTCCACCAGATTTTTTTTTGTTTTCAAAGCTGCATTGAATAAAGCCTTTCGCTTGATACTTGCTCGTTGACTCGTTTGTGGTGCAAGTGGAAACGTCACAATTTCAACATCTTCCTCGCTTACTGGCGCAGGAGCAAAAACATCTTCTACACACGAACGACAACAATAATTGTAAGATGTGCATAATATTTACGAGATAGTATCGACAATGTATTGACCAGATTGAAGTTGTATTTTCGATTCGGGATATTTGAGAACAAGGAGCTCTGGAGCTAAGGCTGCTAATTCTACCAGATGATGGCGCTCGAGTTGCGAAGCGCCAAAGCTATTGGCTACACGCAAGACACTACGCACGGTGGGAGAGGCGCGATGTTTTGCAACAAAACAAAAGCTAGCATCAATAAGCGCGAAGTGGTGGCGCAATAACTCGAGATTAGTCTCCATCAAATATAGAGCTACAATTGAAACTGTTTAAGCACATATCAAAAAGTACCTGATTAGACCAATCAATCATCTCATAATGCGGGTGACGCGAAAGCGCATTGGTCACCACATCTGTAGTGTATATTCGGTATGAAACCATCTTGGCATTCTCTGAGAGAAATGTGGCCACGATGTCGACGAGGATAAAGACGCATAATCCGTATAGATCACACATGACATAAGACATAAGGAAGAGGAGGTGTGACTATTTCATGCATGAATATTTTTTACGAGCAGGTAGTTCTTCTCTGTAGATATGAATAGGCAAGACTTGAAGCGCAATTACGCAGTGACAACAGCTCAAAGCGCAGCGATTGGCAAAGGTCGAATTGTCATAGAGAACATGAATAAGCCGATCCACATCCAGATATGTCTGTTCGTATGCACGATGCGGCCAACGGCTACGTCGCCAGACGGTTGCCCGTTGCATGAGCTTGGACAGCTCCTGGGGCATAACGAATCGCTTCGAGCGCATCTCGCTCAGAGTAGTCACACCAATCAAGGGATTGTTACTGATCTTGCGAGCAGTTGACTGTAAACATCACCTGCGTTAAGGGCATTGAGCAGATCGTGTTGTTCTACAGAATATCTGATTGAGAAATCGGTGTCTGCGCCGGTATAGTTGCTGCAATTAGCTTATTATAAGCATACACACGACAAAACAAAGTCGGCGCCGAGACCTTTCACACTCACCAAATCTGCTCCGTGCGTCTCGTCTATGACGCCACACAGTGTCTTCTGTGAAGTCCGTTGTCGTATACTATTTCATCAAGTCAGTTTTAAACTGCATACCTCACACACGTGGTGGGTCTCCCATCACCATGTCACGAATTTTCGTCGACAGAGGATACGACGGATCCGTAAGCTCTTTAAAAGTAGCTGTATTGCTTCGCGCACTTAGTGCTCAGCGAGTGTCTTCAATGACGGACTTATTCAAAATAGAAATGCGACTTTATCTCCTTCACTAGTAATCTCATTAACTAAATCATTTCGGTGACTTTACCGTCTTGCAACGCTTTGCAAATAATCACAAGATGTATATAATCTTATCTTAATAAGAAGTTCTGCCGGGATAACGAGGAGAGATGTGCAACTCTTGGGTTTTATCCAAACTCGACGTTTTCTAGAAATTCGCTACAGAGCTGATGAGCTTCACTGCCCCGCACAGTGGGTATGTATGACGGCAGTGCTGATTCGCTAGTACTAATACATCTTGGTAGATATCGACTGATTACTACCTGCTGCATACAGTCGCTCACATCCGCCAGAGACCGCGACTCACGGTTGCTCACGGACCCCCTCAGCCGGCATTGGCGCTGCATATATAACTACAGCTGCAACGAAACAAACTAAACGCCCACAATATGGGGACCACGACATACTATCACGAATTTTCATATCAAACGAGAAACGCTATGGAGACTGCGATGTAGAATCACTACCTGTTGATTCGTCCTGACAGTGCTCATTGTTATCGCTGTCGCCGTTCATTCTTTGCTCTAGGCACTCACTAGCATTGGTGCTCATGATTCAGGGTGATCCCATATTCAGCAGCAAAATCACCACATGTTTATGTCGCGCCGGATGCGCCTATGTTTCCTAGTGGAGGTATGCTGATGACCCGCCAAATTGAAAATAGGAGAGATGTGCGAGTTATTATACGTCTTGACCTCCCAGTCGATTCGTGGTTCATCGCTCCCAGCTATGCCATTCCTTGGATGTGACCGTGACCCGTTTCCAGGTTTTAAAACTAAAATACATGTCACGCTGTGAAGTTCTCAAATATACAGGAAGGCTCGTCGAGTCTTTGGCACTATCTGCAGCGGGGCTGCCGTAGCTCGTTTGCTTAGAGGAAGATAAGCTAAGGTCGGTGACTTTCGTTCTCTACTTAGAACCAGTACGAGTGTAGCGGATCACAATCCGTTTACTCCAAGAGTAAAAACAGCCCCAGCCCCAAGGCAAAAAAAGGCTTCCGCTCAAAAATAAACTGTATTTCTTTTGTTTTATATGCGGCAAAGCCGCCTATATTAGGTTTACCTAATTAAGTAATAAAATCTCATCAAAAATCATAACTACTGGAAAGGTGTAGCCACGCCATTGTGTGGTCACACCATCTTGTGTAGCCCATCCTTTCATACCAGGGTACAAGTAAGCCCGTTACACTTCTCCCATCAAAATCATGAGCACCCATAATTCACATTTGACTGTTGCATCGTATGAGGCTCGCATATTTAAGACACCTTACATCCCCATGACCTTCTTCACGCAATTTCTGCTCATTGAGCCGTGTGTCTAGGACACGAAAGACACCCAGCCTCGCTGGTTTCGAGAGTGCCCGCGGGCAGAGCCCTTCTTCGTCTCCTGCACGCGGTGCAACTTCGGACAGCACGTCCACGGCTTCAAGGGAAGCGCAACCCTGGCCCTCGGCATCTGGCGGCCGCACACCGCACTCACCACGGCCGGCGGATTACCTCGACAAGGATTTAGAGGAAGGCGACTACGAGTCGGACACTCTTTCCCAGGATGTGAAGAAGAGGAGGGCGAGGTGCGCCAGCGGCACGACGGGAGCCCTGCTCGAACCTTGCGGACACCGTTTCCCGACCTCTCACTTTCCAAGAGAAGTGGTATCATAATTAATCGCCTCGACGAGGCACAGGAGCAGCAGCTGGATGCTGCCCGCAGGGCGGCTATGCGCGCGCATCCACGGCCGGTCCGTGACCCTCGTGTGGAAAACGGATTCCGCTCGGCGGATCCCGCTACTGAAGCGAAGGATGCTATCTACCGATCATTAGGCGTCTACGTGGTCGGGCCCCCGGCCACAACACAAGCTGAGCCTGACCAACAAAAACCTCTCCGAGCTTGCTTCCTGGTACCTTATGGAATTCTTATGGATATGTACCGCGCTCAACTTCGCTGTTCTCACGATGACGACGAACCTATAGTACACGCTCTGGCAAACCGCTGTCGATGATGAAGAGATCTTTGAGCGAAAAATGCAGCGGAACCGAAAATTTTCCTTGCTGTCCAACTTGCAGTGGATTCACAAAGGTAGACGCGCGCGTGTAATGCAATCTTCAGTTCGAATTTGCCAAACTCACGACACAATGCTGACTTCCTTCGTATTGTCGCCCGGTGACACATGGAATAATACATCATGCTTCCGCAAGATCTATGGTTTCTAACACGGGTGAGTCTACGACCACAGCAGCTCAGGGTCATAGCTTGAGCTTAGCTCATGGCCATTCGGCTTTCCCGGCTAATGCTGAGAAGCGCGGGCCGTACGACGACGCGGAGCGTCATGATCCCCCTGATCATAAGCGTTCAAGGCCATTGAGCAGTCTGACTAAAGTGGCACCTCAAACAGCCAAGCGTTCTTGGAGTTTGGGTATGTTCATCACTTTACAAGACATTATGTTAGACCCTGTCAGCGACGTCGATTCACAAGGCGTTCCACGAGATAGTGGACGCCACAATTCTAACCGAGAAGAGTCGGCAGCGGGCGATGACGACTTGGTCGATCGCCGTCCGGTGACTTGCGATGCTCTTTGAGCTCTGGAGAACAAAGTCCGTCGTCATCGGCATTCCGCCGAGCATCTTTCTGAGGTCGCAAACCGCTGTGCGGAAGACGTCGAGATCTTGGAGCACCTTATGCACCGACTGCTCATGTTGATGATTATCGCACTCTGTAAAGGGGCTTTCTAGCCGTCGAGCAGACAAATGCGTCATTTTGCGCGACGGTGGAGCGCCTGGCGCCGTTGGAGATGGACTTTGTTGCACTCCGTGTTCGTAACCAGTTGCTGATTCAGCTTCTCGGTAGTCGAGCGCCTGTGGTCGCCGCCCCGGCGCCAACGCTTCTGCGGTCACTTGCATCGGATTCCGGAACGGCTTAAGCAAGCCCACATAGAACACCGGGTGGGTGCGCATCCTTCTCGGAAGGTTCAGCGTATACGCAAGGCCCCGCTTGGTCACGAACTCAGAAAGTTCGATAAACTGTGGACGCTTCGTCTAATTGACAGTGGAGACTGCATGTATAGGAACGTTATTAGCATTCTATAGAGCCAAAATTCCGACCTCAAAGTATTCAACATTTCTTCTTCTTCCATCTGCATATTCTTTCTGCATATCTTGGCTTTCATCCATCGCATTGAGAAGGTGTCGGAAGACACTCAGTGCGGTAGACAGCTCACCAGGCCCTGATCCATGGGATGGCGTCGTCAGCGGGATGCGAGGTTTAACAAGCCCGTTCATGTAGAACGACATACAGCCGGTAGATGAATGCACTGCAGTGGTCAGAGCAATCTTTTCGAGTGGCAACATTGCGTTCTAGCACTTCGAGGTATCAGCACAGACACTGCGAAGAACGTTTTCAACAACGCGATTAATGCGCTCAGTTCGACCATCGGTCTGCGGATGATCTGCTGTTGACATAGTTAATTTGGTGCCTAGCACCCTGAAGATTGTAGACCAAATTTTCTCAGTGAAGCGTGGGTCTCTATCAGAAAAAATTAATTCCGATAGTCCATGTTGTCGAAAGACACGATCCACAAACAGCGTCGCTCTACAGACACCGTCGATGGTGTCCGGCACTGCCGCAAGATGAACTGTCTTGCTCAAACGATTAACAAAAACCATCGCACCCGTGTTGCTTTGGCAGGCCAAACACTCATGGAATGCCGACACCCGGAGGGTACCGGTAAATTGGCCAACGGCGCCACCGCATTCGGAGAGGGTTTCAATCTTTGATACGTTTCACACGGGCCCACATATGTGCTTGTCCATTTGTAAAGATTGAGCCACCAGTAGTGACAACTCACAGAGCTGTACGCCTTCTCACGCCCAAGGCCTCATAGAGAATAGGGTATTTCAAATCCTCATCGAAACAAATCATAATGTGTGGCGTATCCGTCGAATCGGTGTTATAAAACAGCAATCCGTTATCCGACGAGTATCGGTGTTACCGTGCGCGCTATCGGGACGACAACGTCTTGTCCGAGTTTCCAAACTCCTTGCTTCCGAGAGCCTGTAGCAGCGATACACACATACCATCACCCGCGTATGTGGCGCGGATCAAATCCGTCACTGACGACGTCACTGTCGTGGCATGAACAAACTCATAATCCGGTCTGCGTGACAACGCATTAGACAAAGCATTCTGCTTTCCTGGATTATACTTTACCTCGAATTCATATTCTTCGTAATAACAGAGCCACCTGTCCATCCTCTGCGAAAAAAGAGGCGGCTGAGTCGCAGTGCGTAGTGACACAGGATCTGTGTAGATCACAAACGGCTTTTAGCCAAGCAGGTGCACCCTGAACTTGACAAGTGCATACTTCATCGCAACTCATTCCTTGTCATGGACTGGGAAGTTTTTCTCCGCAGTCTAGAGCTTCCCTGTGCGCAGCACGAGCGAAACCCTCAAACTCAGGGTACCCAAGTTTTATCATCAGATTCATAATTTTAAATTCTGCAGATGTAGGCTCCATACGTTTACCCTTTAAGACTTCAGCTTTAGGTACCACAATTTGGCCAGCATTCCTATCGAGTTATCTATACTCTTACATGCAGTGTCTACACTCACTAGATCTTATTTTTAGTTTTGCTACATCAGACTTCTCACGGTCGTTACGAGGGAACCCGATCCACCCCTCGGCTTGCAGCAGTGCACACCCGATAGCAAAGTCCGAAGCGTCACGGATGACACTTAAAGGACGATCGGGGTCTGTCAACGGTAGTATTAGTGCTTGAAGGAGGCTGCCTTTGACCCCGTCAAAAGCCTCTCGATGCTCTGTGTCTCAACACTATTCCGCATCTATTTTAAGAGGATTCGACAATGACCGTGCAATTTTTCGCATAATTTGCGCTATACTTGTGCGAGTAGCTCGCGAGGCCAAGCCACTTGCACAAGTCCTTTTGGTTTTTTGAAATCGGCCAGTCCACAAAAGCCATGATCTTAGCGGGATCCGCTCAAAGGCCACGCTCTCCAATGACGCACTCTAAAAGGAAATTTCTTCCGCGCCGAAGATGTACTTGTCTGCATTCTCATGCGGCTTATTCGTGCGCACGCACTTGAGCACCGTTCTCAACTGAAGGATGTGGTACTCTTCGTCCGTGCTCACACGACTGTGGACGAAGATTTCGTCGAAGTATGTCTGTGTATACGCCCGATGGGGCCTGAACAATTGCGTCACAAGACGATTAAATGTTGCTGGTGCATTTGACAGCC